GATGTCGAAGGGATGGCGCCCTTGTTGGCATTCTTGTTCACAGCATCGAGGATCTCGAACTTGGATACCAGGCCGGCGAGACTGGGTGCCGTGGTCCGGAATGTGTGCTGCGTGGCAGGTTCTGAGGCTGAGACATGGCCGTCTCTCTGGCTCCGGGAGAGCCTGGAGATGAGCTTTGGAGTGCTGGGCCTGGTCTTGGAGGGGATACGAAGGGGTGCTGGTTTGAGAGGAGAGTCTTGATAACTTTGGGGCTCTAAGGCTTTGGATGCCCGTGGGCGGGTAAATGGGGGAGAGGAAGAAGACATCGATGGGCAGGGAGTGGCTGATCGACAAGGCACTGTGGACGGAGACGGAATGATGTTGTTGAAGTGCTCCCCGTTGTTGTTTGAACTCGGCTGGATGAGAGGTTCAAGACTTAGCAATCTACAAGCTTCGAAGTAGGTACCTTGTTGGTTCAGCTTGAACTATATGGGTGCCTTCCATTCTCACGAGTTCAGATCAGGCCACTCTCTACAACTGTTCCTTCCAGAAGAGAAGCTGGTGCGGTCTGTACGCCTACGGTACCACGCGTCGGAAGCCACGACGGTTATATGCAGGAACAGTTCATACGATGAAGTAAGTCTTGTACGACATCCTGAGACTGCCGCTCCTGAGTTCTAATTGTGCTAGGGAAAGAAAGTCCAAACAACAACGGCAAGGATTGCAAACACCTTTTCCGATCTTCACCACATCTAACGACGCCTTCCAAACATGGCCAAATTGCTCAGAGAAGAAAGAGAATTATAACGATGCTGAGGACTATCGACCGTGTCCAAGATGAAGAAGAAGAATAAAGTAAACGAAAGACAAACAAGACTACCGTGGTCTGGTATCAACGCGGAAACGCCAGGCAACACGAAGCGGCTACTTCGATGCAGCGATGCATCCTCCTCTCCCACCAATTTTCCAATCTCTAACCGCCAGTATCATTTCCAACCACCATATCCTTCCTAACCTCCCATATTGTTCTGTCCAAGCTCACAGGTCCATCTCCTCGTGATGCTCAATCTGACGAGCGACCCGCACTCCCTTCTCGACGTCACCAGAGCCACCATACTTGGCGAAGCCATCGGGGTCGTTCTGCACGCTGTTCTGGCGCTGGCTGTTGTTGGTGGAGTTGCTCTCGACGCGCGACGAGACGGTGGTGCTGTGCCAGCTCTTGAGGAAAGGCTCGTTCCGGTTCGAGCTGGACGGCGTGCTGTTGTGGTCCTGGCTGAAGGCGCTCGGGTTGGCTATGCGCTGAGCTGCCAGGGTGCCGAGCGGGAGGACAATGACCACGGAGGTGGCCGTCAGAGACCCGAACTCGAAGGCGGCCCACTGACCGTACTCCAGACCGGCGAAGCAGGCTGTGATATATGTGTTAGTTGGGTTTTATGATGATGGTCTTTGTGGGGTTGAGCATTGCTTACCGGGAATGCACATGAGGACGGCGTTGGTCAAGACGAGGATCTCCATGGCCGACATACCCTTGACGGAAGGGAGGATGCTGCGGTTCTGAATCATGTGGATGGCTAGCCGGACGTTGAAGAGGAAGCAGAACCAGAAGACGGAAGCCGACATAAACGCAAGGTCGACCTTGCGTACCCAGAGCACCTGCTGATAGTCCAGGAGGACGGTGAAGAGACATTGCATGACGGTGTCGGCGAACTTGAACCCGACGGCCAGGAGGGTAACCAGGACCGAAAGAATAGTCGCGGGCCACTTGTACATGTCCGGCCACAGCTGGATCATAGTCCAAGCCTGAACCCAGAGAGCGGCCTCGATGGCGATGCAGAGAGGGATGCTCGTAGCCGTGGCGGCCACGCTGGTGCGGTAGTCCTGCGCCGGAACGTGGGTCAAGTCGTGCGACCAGACGGTGTAGAATTCGTACCACATCGACATGGGGAACCAGGCGATCAGAACTGTGTGGACGATGGCGGTGAGAAGGGCGACGATGTTGATGATTGTCGGGATGCGCCTGAGCTTGGCCCGAGGGGTCATGAGGATGTAGACGAGCAGCATTATGATGCAAGCTCCGATTTGGGAGCCATAGTTGACCTCTATGGCGAATCGGGCCCTGTATGCTTTGTTAAGTCTAGCAATGGGCACATCCGTCTGGGTGACGCCATCGGGGCCGATGAGGGTGATGTTCTGGGACAGGACATCGAAGTGTCCCGTGTTGTTGTCGGTGAAGGCGGCCATAGCGCTTGAGGTTGATATTGGATGTGAGGGAGGTGGTCGTTGCGTTGCTGTTGTGTAGCCTCACGGACAGATCGAGGGGGAAACCACGTGGCTAGCCGGTGGTCCTTGCTGAGATCTTGCTGTTGGATATCTTGCTAACGAGAACTCGTTTGGCTGGTTGCCGAGAATGTATCAAGCAGTGCCGAGAGAAGAAGGAGAGACAAAGACCAGCTGGTCTGGACTGAGCTGGGACAGAAGAGATTCAACGAAGTTGTCCTGAGTAGAGAGATGGCTCGATGGAATGGTCGATCGAGCTTCTTTAACTTGAAAGCAGATGGATGATGAAAGGTCTCAGGTCGGAGTTGTCCTTCTCTGGGAACAGGTAAAGGAAGAGAGATGTGACCTCGAGAGGCTAGGAGATCCTGACCTCACCGCTGGGGAGGACTTCATCCTATTCTCCTTCTGGAACAAAAGAGACAGGTCGAACTCGCCAATGCTGCCCACGTTCATCACATTCATCGATTGGAATGAGGGCCGAGAGCGAAGAATACTAACGACGGCAAACAAGCAAAAAGCAAAAGGTATTGCAGAATGTTGACAAGGGTTATGGGTTGTGGCGGCCGTTCGTTGGTGGTTGTGGGGAAGGCCTTAGTATTGTTCTCGATGATAATCGGTTTTGGTGTAAGTCCTTAGTATTGTTCTCCTCGCCTCCGCTTGCAACCGGAATGCTACCCGTCAACCACCCACCCTGTCAACTCGCAGGCAAACATCTGCAGCTGAGGTGCGGCCCGCGCCAATTCAAGTGACAGATCTGTAAATTAGACCTGGTAACTGGGATAAGGTGGTATATCATTTACCGGGGGCCCCAAGGTGCCGGTGAGGTTGCAGAATGGGGTGATCTGGCCTTCTACTAACTCGGCCTCGCTGGCAGAGCCAGAGAAATAAGCAATGTCCCGTAGAGACCCCAAGCAGATCGTCCTGCAGATCGAATATGTCTGCGGCTGGATAGTGTCGCTGGCGCTTGTGAGGAGTCAGAGAATGCCGAGAGTGGGAGGTCGTTGTGACGGCTTGACTGGTGAACACTTCGGTGCACGGCCAGTTATAACTACCGGCAGTAGTTGTTTTACCTTCTCCAGTCGCCGGAAAAGCTTAGGAATGGAAGGCCGAGCCCTCGTGTCGACAAAGAGACGGGAGTTACCGTCCCTGTCGTGGTTGTAGAGTACATACTCGTGCCTGGCCTGGCCTAGACCCAAGAGACAAAACTCTCCGCGCTGACACATGGCACAGTGCTAGGAGAGACTGCACAGAGCCTTCACCTGTGGTCACGACTGCTGCCAAAAGCATGGTGTCAGGTTCGAGGAGATACGGTTATGAAACTGATGTGACGGGCCCTTCCAAGCTGCGGCATGCCGGCGTTCTCGACAGTCACTTCTCGAGACTCAACCAGTCCACCGCAGCAACTTATGCACTCCCTGTTTGCTATCACACTATTGACGGATAGGAACTGATGAAGACTGTCAGACAAGAGCTCTCGATGCTGGGCCATTGGCCCCCTCACTCTCCTCCAGACGTATCTCGATCCTCGACGAAGTTAATCCAGCTGTGATCGCCACCACATACGCGGTATCCCCGATGCAGTGTTCTTTTGAGACATATGACACCGCTGCCATGGTAACTAGTCGATTTGGGTGAGGAGCTGTATCTCAGCATCACATCGACTGCCTTGGCTTCGTGGTGGCCGCTAATGCTGGGACCCATATCCAATGCAGGAGACCACGCATGAGACCGTCGTCGAAGACGAGGTATCGTGGGCGGTTGGTCAGAGGATTCATTTCAGTGACTGAGTGTGCCATCAAATCATTTGTCTCTCATCGAAATCCTGTTTGTGACCTGAGTCCTGTGTATCACCAACCTTTCGACTGTTGATGCCGTGGGGCTGGGGCGCCCAGATAGCTCAGAGCAAATATTACCGGAACGTCCCGCAGTAACATGGCACATCACCTTTAGGATCGTTGGGACATTGATCATTATGCTTAGTTGGAATATTAGCACACGCCCAATGCATGATTTCTCACTCCAGGTGCCTCAACCCCACCGAGACGTCTTCACCAGCGTTCAACCGTTGACGATGCCAGCGGTCTTCCCCTTTCTTGCGCCAGCCACGTCCTCCCAAACATCTTCAGCCAAGGCCAATGAAAACATAATACCAGTAGATATCTCACATCACTGGGTCCTCGCCAGCCTTCTATGGCGAGCACCAGGTCGAGAGCATCCTTGGCACTTAGAGCAAGCTTTCCGAACATCAGCCAAGCCCACAGGTATCTTTCCTTCGTCACAACGCCTTTCCAGTCACCAACCCATCACGGGCTGTCGATGAGTTGTTCCCGACAGATTCATTGCTTCTGGCAGACCTGCCCATTCCGCCCCCTTCGCCTCGAGTGCCTCCATGACAGATGTGGTCCTGCGCAGCCTATACAGCCTCCTTGATTAAGCATCGCCACGAAGCTCGCTGCGATTAGGCTCTCTTTCCTCAGAAAGATCAAACCCCATCTCCAGGGCCAGTGTGAATCTTTCCAACCACTCCGACGCCGCCCAAGCAAAACCCCCAAGAGTCTCCCCTCCTCCACACCACACAACCACATAACCCACCACAGCACGCAAACCAAACAACGTACGACCACAGGCGCCGGAAAACTCGGGATCCCGTCCGCTCTCCCATCGATAAGCCGGCGACCGTCAGACTAGTACTCGGGTGGGTGACCACCGGGGAATCCCTGATGTTGTACGTTACAACTTATGTCGGTCCCATAGCTCAGTTGGTTAGAGCGTCGTACTAATAGTCATACCCCGTCCTTCGGACGGTGACCATTGAGTGAAATGCGAAGGCCGAGAGTTCAAGCCTCTCTGGGACCACGTTCTTTTTGCTTCTTGCGGATGTTCTTTTTTTGGGTGTTGTTGAGGGATGTTGGAGGCGAGTCATGGTGCTGGGATGCTTGGGGGATGTGGACGACTTATTCTTTGGCCAATCATAGGCTTGAGGGGTTAGGGTTGGGATTTGGCTGAGTGCGATCGAGTTGTTGTCAGGGTTAAGCTTAACCATAGCATAAAGCAACATGTGTTGATTCATGTCCTCTATGACAGTAGTTAGTGTCAGTTCATAATCAATAAACATGTCCTCGTGCTTGCTATGTTGTCGTCGGTTATAAACATCACTCGCTGTTACCGGAGTTAAAGACCGGATCTTCAACACATTTGGCGCTATGCCTAAACAGGACTCCAGTCTCTGATTGGAGGGCTTGCAAGTGCTTCGCCATCGCATCGGGAAGCCGATCTCCCACTGGCCCATGCCAAGTGGAAATGCCGTTCGAAGAAGTTGTGATGGTGTATCTCGTGGCACCGAAACAGACCCCTATCTTCAAAAAGTGGTGATAAGGAGATCGGGAGGTCCATATGTCCGACTCCAGCAGTCTCAATACTTAAGGGGCCTTCCCACACCCCTCCCTGCTTGGTTGTGCAAGACATCGTTGATCTTCCAATACCCTCGATAACACCATCTAAAAGTTCTCCTTGATCAGCACCATCCTAATCCTGTCACAACAACAACCAACACCCACAATGCCCGCCCAAACCTTCTCCGAATTCTGGTCCGCCCAGCACCGCGACCTCCCCCTCCCCTCCCCCTCCGCCATCGCCGGCCGCGTCTACGTCCTGACAGGGGGCAACCACGGTATCGGCCTCGAAGCAGCGAAGCATCTCGTCCGCATGTCCGCCGCCCGGGTGATCATCTCCTCCCGGTCCCTCGCCAACGGTGCCGCCGCCGTGGCCGAGATCGAGCGCGACACTGGCATCACTGGCCATGCAGAGGCGTGGCAGCTCGACCTGGGGGATTTCGACAGTGTCAAACAGTTTGCAAGGAAGGTGGAAGGGCTGGAGAGGGTCGACGCTGTTATCGAGAATGCGAGTATCGCGACCGATTTCTGGACCGTGAGGGAGGGGATGGAGACCAGTGTTGCGGTGAATATCGTCGGCACGTTTCTGTTGGGCGTGTTGGTGTACCCCAAGTTGGTGGAGAGCGGGAAGAAGTTCGGGACGAAGCCGAGTTTGACTGTGGTGGGAAGCAATGCGGCGTTTTTTTCTGTTGGCGTGTTGGAGAAGGTTGAGGGGGATATACTCAAGGCGTATAACACGAAGGGAAAGGTTGATATTGGCGGGAGGTAAGTTACCCATGACGGGGCAGAAGATGTGGTTGCTGATCTCTTGTTGTCCAGGTATGAGCACACGAAGCTCATCCAGTTCTACATCCTCCGCGAGCTGGCGAACCAGCTGCCGTATGAGAAGGCCGCCGTGGTGATCAACTGCATCAGCCCGGGTCTCTGCAATACCGGTCTCGCGAGGAATGCTTCGCTCAAGACGAGGTTTCAAGTGCGCGCGATGAACATGCTGCTGGGGCGCACTGCGGAGATGGGCAGTCGTACTCTGCTTCATGCCGCGACTGTCGGGCAAGAGAGCCACGGGAAGTATGTGGCTGACTGCCAGGTGTCTGAGTGAGTGCATCCTTTCCCAATCTATCCTCGAGGACTTCCCGCTGACTAAACTGCAGCCACTATGTCCCTGAATGGGTGACCGATGAGAGCGGGAGGAACATCCAGAAGCGGCTGTGGAGGGAGGTGTCGGGGATGCTGAACGACATCGAGCCTGGTTGTCTTAGTCGGGTGCTTTCGAAGGCTCGCTGAAGGGAGTCTGGAACGGGAGTTGTTTTAGTAACATAGGCCAGGTTAGATCTCGATACTTGATACCAAATCCCATAGTGTCTTTGCCGATTCGTCGTGCAGCACCCTGGCCCACGGATATTCAAGCATCGCAGCCTGTAGCCTCTGCCAATCGCGAACGCCAAGTTCGGCCGCCGTAAATCTTATGGCAGGCAGAAGCCACTGATGGTCGTTCGGGCCAAACTCCGAAATACCAGCAACAACCAGAGCCCAGAGCAGAAACGAGCGGTTGGCCGGCTCACAAGTCCACGGTCCTCGAAGGGCATCTCGTAGGCCTAGTGAGAGACTGTTGAAGTGAATCCTCCTCTGGTAGCCGAATTGGAGGATGAAAGTTGTCAAGAAGGCTGTCAAGGACAGATGCAACGCCACTTGCAGGCTATCCCGAGGCAGCTGACAGGAAAGGGATCTGTAGTCCAGGAGCCTGTAGCCGAGGTCGATCACAAGGTCTTGGTATGCGATGGGTTCCAGTTTCCTGGGTTTCGTGGTCGAGTTGAGGAAGTCGGTTATTGTGCTGATGTCTGCCGCAATGAAGTCCAACTCCGGATATGGATGCAGCTCCGCCAACCGGCTGTGCTTCCGCTGTGTCCCGAAAAGAGCGTAGACTTGGGCACCCGAGATGCCTGGATAGTGGAGCAGCGGAGCAGTTCCCTCGTGCAAGGCGACGTCGATGTCGCATCTACCATGTGTTAGCAGGAGCGAATCCGACTGCTACAAATTGACTGCTCACCGACATATCTTATGAGCAAGCTCACGCGGAAGCTGTAGGAGACCGCCTCGCAAACTGACGATCCTGGCCAGCCCCTGAAGGTGGATACGGCCTGTCGCATAGTCTTGGAGCAGCTGCTCGTGAAGGCTGAGACTGACGACTGAAGCCATGGTGTTGTTGGTGAGGGCTTCCTCCGATGACAGTCTTCCGTTCGTCAGACGGAACGCATGGGCGATGTGTGCCAGAGCGTCCGGCGGTATGGATGATCTCGTGACCGCCTTGGTCTTACCGAGGAAGAGCTCAATGAACGATGCGCACATGGCAATTGTGCAGTGCAGAACTGTGAGTTTGTGAGACAATGTACATGGGGAAAGGTCGCGAGGCGACATACATGCTGCATCGGTCGACATGTATTCGAACCATACCGACGTTACATGATCTTGCTGGGAACAAAACTCAGGCGGATAGAGTGCATCGCCTACCAGTTGGAAAACTAGATACAGTTTCATCAGCTGGAGCAAGCAAAGGAGCCAATGATGGAACATACATTGAGTGAGGCGCCTCCTGGCATACGGTCCCGGTTCGATGGGCAATCTAACAGAAGAGAACCGGTGCCCAATTGGCAGGCCTAGGGCGAGGGGAGGCGGACCGGCCATCTGTTCGACAACGGATGATACTTCGCTGCTGACTGGAGAGACTGACGATTGTTCCGTATCCGGTGACACAGTGTTAGCCCGTTTTCTGATGGCCGCTTTCTTTGATGGCCTCGTAATCGTCCTGCCTTTGTTGATCCCTTGCATCACATGGCTCCGGATCAGTTTGCGTGTGCGCCGGTCTATGATCGAGTTGTCGATAAATTGAAATGTCATCTTCGTAGTTCACGAACCTCTTGATAACAGGTTTCGAGATGTCAACTTGATGTCTGGAGCATTCCTATTTGTTGTGGAAGGCAGATGTTATGCAAGTTGTGGTTAGGCATGTTGTCGGAATTATGGTCATTAAATCCGATCTGACGATCTTGACCACGCTTGTCGAAAGTCCATACCATTTCGGTCATTTGCAATCTTCAGGTCTTAATAGCATTTATAACGGCCGTAAGATGCAATACATCAGTACGTGATGGTTACAGACACTGACTATAGTAGTCGTTGGAGACCTTGCAAGTAGAGCCGGACGCGCAGGTCGTGCAGCCTGTCCAACCCTTGCCACCGCACTGAGCATACTTTGCAGCCGTGCATCCGCCAGAGCCAGAGCCGGGAGTAGAAGCAGGAACAGCCGACGTCTTAGAGGTCGTGGAAACCGACGTCGTTGAAGAAGTTGTAGACTTCGAGGTCGCGCCACTAGTCGTAGGCTTGACAGAGGAGGTCGGGGCAGTCCCTTGCACACATTGCCAGTAGTCTGCATACGGGTCAGTATCACTCGCCTTGGTAAAGCCAGCAGAACTTACAGTCGGTCATGTAGCTGCAGTAGAATCCGGCAGGGCACTACGTCATGTTAGTCGAGCACAACACCTTTTACGCGATCCAACATACCGCCATAGCAACATCCCAAGTCAAGCTATCACACTGAGCATAAGCAGCCGCTGTGGCTGTGGGCGTTGGTGCATTCCAGGTCGTAGCAGACGGCATGCTGAACTTCGGAAAGCTCGAATCGTCGGACCTGACGCAGCCCGTCTTGCTCGTGAGCTCCGCAGGGCACTGGATCTGCGTGAAGCTGAAAGTTGGGTTGTCCGAGTTCCGGAACCAGTCGAAGCGCCAGTAGCACCCTGGCTGGAGCTTGACTGGCATCGATGCGCACTCAGATCTGGCTGAAATGCCGCCATACTGTGCGCCAGGGATGCCGCCGAACTGGGAGGTGCAGCCGTCGAAGATGCCGGTGCCGCCACCCGGGATCTGCAAGTCAAACTGATTACCTGCTAAGTCGGAGCCGGTGTTGACGGACTGGACGAGCATGATTTTGCCTTTGGCTTTGCCGGAGGTGAAGGTTAGGCTGGAGGTGGTCAGTGGGTGGCCATGTTATGATTTTGGTCATTGTTGGCTTACGCATAACAGGCACAGCACCAGCTGGACTCAGTGCCGCCATTGATGGCCGTGGCAGCGAACCCGTATGATACCAAGTCATTGACAGCCCAGGGTTCCTGGTTGGTGCATGTATAGGCCGATCCGCCGCTCTCACAGCCGGACTTGGTACTGAAGTCGGACAAGGGGTTGTCGTTCTTGTCGCATGTGTAGACAGGATGGGACACGGAACCCTTTCCTGCCCAGGCACATGAGGGCTTACAACAGTCCCAGTACCTAGCGAGATCAATGTCATGCAACAACATATTTGGGTCTCTTTTCATACCTTGTCGACTTACCGTTGCCAGACGCGGCATATACGGACATGGGAAGCAAAGCCCCCAGGCAAGAGCCGAGGAGAGAGACTGCACGCATAGTTGA